AATATATTCATTTGAAGCCAAATAATTTCATTTCATAAAAGGGAAATACAGTCAACCCTTGGTATGTCTTCTGAGGATTGGTTTCAAGACTCCCTGCACATACCCAAATCCACACATGTTTAAGTCCTTCTTGAATGTAAAATGACATAGTGTTAGTTTATAACATCTATACATTCTTCCATGTATTTTTAATTATTTCTAGATTACTTATAATACCTAATACAATGCAAGTGCTGATGTAAATAGTTGTTTACTGTATTGTTTAGGGAATAATAACAAGAAAAAACAGTCTGGACATGTTCAGTATAAATACATTGAAAAAAATATTTTGTATATATAAATGTGCAGATATGGAACCCACAAATGTAGAAGATGCACTATGTACCATATACATTATCTATCATGCTTTCCTTTTGAACAGAAACTTTAAATATCTTTTTGAATTTTTTTCACTAGGAGGAAACTTTTGTGCCTTTGTAGGATTTTGTTTAGTTTTTTCGTATAAGGAATTGAACTCAGGGTGCTTTACCACTGAGTCACGTCCCCAGCCCTTTTTATTTTTTATTTTGAGACCGGGTCTCGCTAAGTTGCTTGGGGCCTCACTAAGTTGCTGAGGCTGGCTTCAAATTTGTGATCCTAAGGCAGGAGGCTGCCTTAGCCTCCCACGCTGCCAGGATTACAGGTATACGTCACCACACCTGGCTCTAGTTATTCTTTATATATTTTGAGCAATATAATTTAACAGCTATAGTTTCAAAATTAACCTTATTAATTTTTTTTAAAGAGAGAGAATTTTTTAATTTATTTTTTAGTTTTCAGTGGACACAACATCTTTGTTTTATTTTTATGTGGTGCTGAGGATCGAATCTAGGGCCCCGCACATGCCAGGCGAGCGTGCTACCGCTTGAGCTACATCCCCAGCCCAACCTTATTAATTTTTAATATATAGGTGTCATTTTTATTTTGTAAGGGTCTGAATTGCTTTTCAGATTTTTAGTACCTACCTATGTTGGTCATTCTACAAAATTTAGAAAACTCAAACAATGAATAGTATTTAAAATTACTTTTTCATAACATTGACATTTGCTAAAATGTAGTTGCTATTGAAACAGAGTTGTTACTGCATGATTTAATCAAATGCTGAATTGTTTGAATAATAATATAAATGACCATGAAGAATTTTTTATACAAAGGAATTTTTTAAAGTAGCATCTGGGTGCTGGGGTCAAGTGCAGTAGTAGAGAACTTGCCTAGCATGTGTTTAAGCACTGTGTTCAATTCTCATCACCACATATAAAAATAAATATTTATTGAAAACTAAAAATATACATATGAATAGCATAAAAATATATATGAATAGCATCTGCTTTCCTTTGTACTGAAACCCAACACAGACAAAAAATTATATACAGTATTCTTCTAAAATATTATTTATTCTATAGCTGAGAAATGTAAGATGGATGTATGATAACTTAAATTTTTTTGTAAATAACTTTTATTTTATTTGGTATGTAGAGAATTATATTTTGAATTTTTGGAAAAATGGATTATGCATTAATCTAATCTAATGCATTAATCTAATGATTTAACCTTGATTACAAAATTGGGTAGTTAACAGAATAAAAAGAAAAGAAAATCATAGGTCTATTATACTTCTGAGCACACATTAAAAAATCCTAAAAAAGAATTTAAAATGACAACTAAAATCAAGCAAATTATCCAGAGAATAATGATTATAAAGTAGGACTCATTTCAGAAATACAAGAATGGATCAACAGTAGAAAACTTGATTGTTAGAATTTTACTGCATTAGCAGATTAGAGGAGAAAACTTTATAAAAATCACCTCAGTACAATCTAAAAATTTAGTAAATTTAACACTAATCTTTGTTTTTAAAAATTCTTCGATTCAAAAGGTAGAAGACAAAGCTTTTAAGCTAATACAGTGTTACAAACACACGCACACAGCTATCTACCAAAGGCATTATATATAATGATGAAAAATTGGAAACATTAAAGTCAGGAATAAATCATGGGTGTTTATTAACATTGGCATCCTTAAATGTTTTGCTAGGTCCTAGTCAAGGAAATTAAAGGGAAAGATTGGAAACATAAATATTGGAAAAGAAGAGAAAACATACATTATTTACGGATAATGTGATTGCCATCTAGATATTCTAATGAAACAGCAGACAACTATATTAATGAATTCAATAAAGTAGTTGGGTAGAAGATCAACATTCAAAAATGAGTAATTGGCTAGAAAATGAAGTGGAAAGAAATAGTAACCCCCATTTCAAAGTTCAGAATAGATCTTACAAGAAAGGTACAAGATAATTGTGAAAGAAAAGAATCTATGTCAATAAACTGTATGTCAATGAAGAAAATGAATGTGGATTCAAACAATACAGGGCAAATCTTAAAAAACAATATTGATCAAAAGAAGAAAAAGCTGAAATAATATGTATTATACGAATCCATTTTTATAAAACAAAAAACTAAATATATTTTTTAGTCAGGCTTAAAATAATAACAGAAACCAAGAGAATGGTAATAACAGAAGTCATAATGGCAGCTACCTCAGTAGGAAAGGTAGGGGGTTTGGGAAGGTACTTGGAGGACTTCAGTTTTGTCAGTATTCTGTTTCTTGTCTTGGGTGATGATTACATGGGTATTTCCTTTGTATTAATTAAATCTCTGTCTTTTATCTGCTTTTCTATGGGTGGTTTTATATCACAGTGTAAAAATAAAAAAAGAGGAATGAAAAAGAGAAGATGGATAAGTGAACAGAACAGAAAATTCCAGAAACTAATATGTATTTGTGGTGATTGTGTGTGTGTGTGTGTGTGTGTGTGTGTGTGTGTGTGTGTTTATCATATGATAAAATAGGCCTTTCAAACTAATGGGGAAAGAGATTTCTCAATAAGTTGTTGAGATTATTGGATTTTTGAAGGAAAAAAAAGATTTCTATTCATTTCATTATCAGAAATGTATTTCAGATAAAGATCTAAATGTAAAAAGGAAACTTAAAATTGAAAATGTTTTCCTTACCAAGATAGAATAAGGCAGAATACCATAAAGAGAAAGATTGGTAGATTTAACTGTATTTAAGTTATTAACTTCTGTGCAGTAAAAGAATAGACAGGCATTAAAGTAAAGAAGTGGGAAAAGTATTTTAAAATACCTATAATAGGCCATCTTTCTTTCCATAATATAGAAAGAGCTCCTAAAGTTGTATAACCCCAAAATTAGGTGAATAATTCATTCATAAAAGAAGAAATAAACATATCTGATATCCTGGAAAGTATTCTTAGCCTTTTCTTTTTTTAATATTTATTTTTTTGTAGTTGTACACAATAACTTTTATTTATTTATTTTTATGTAGTGCTGAGGATCAAACCCAAGACCTTGCATGTGCGAGGCGAGTGCTCTACCGCGGAGCCATAACCCCAGCCTCCACCATGCGGCCTGCGCAATGGTTTCATTAATGAGGTTCTTGGCATAAAAGTTAGCTAGAAGAGATCGAAATAAAACACACAGACTCAGTTACCTTATTTCTATTGCCAGGTCCGAGACGGCTCCCCTCTCTGGCTCCAACCTCTAACCTCCCAGCAGGGCAGCAAGGATTACTCAGGGCTAGCAGGAGAGAGAGAGAGTGAACACGCCTGGGAGTAGCCTTTTATTGGGGAACAAGAAATTCAGGGGAGAATTCCATCCAATGAAGGTTGAGGGGGGACTGCACTCCAAGGTCAGGGTCAGTGATTGGGCCCCCGGGGTCAGTGGTCAGTCACACCCCCACACGGTCGGGTTCTCTCATCAGGAGAGGGCTGGGAAAATTCCGACACAGGCAGAAGCCTCAGACCCAAACCGGGAGTCACCCAGTCACGCGTGAGAATGGCTTCCCACACCAGCCCCAGCCATTTTTTTTGTAAATTTTTTTATTTATATATGACAGCAGAATGCATTACAATTCTTATTACATATATAGAGCACAAAATGATGGTGGAATGTGATGATCATTACTATCTAAAGTACATGTATGAAGACACAAATTGGTGTGAATATACTATGTATACAACCAGAGATATTCTTAGCCTTTTCAAGGAGCAGAATTTCAAGATAGTCTGAAAATTCAGTATTTGTGAGAATGTGGAGAAATGGGTGGAAGTATAATTGGAAAAGCCTTTTTGGGAGGGCAGTTTTTTTTTTTTCAACATTGAAATGTTTTTTATCCTATATTTCCATTTCTTAAAACATGCCCTCTAAAAGACTCAACATGTAGCTGTATGTATAAAGTAGTTCCTTTTTGCATATAAAGAGGGAAAATTTTAGAAACAGCCCAGTGGCTGTTGTTTAGAGGAATGGTTAAATTAATTAGAGCTCCATGTAGAATACTGTCATTGTTAGTTTGCTTAACATGATGTAGAACTGTCAAGGCACATTGTTTAAAAATTTTTTTTCCAATCTAATAGCACATTTTTATTACACATGTAAAATTATAAAAGCTAAAATTCTGTATATGTATATAGGTACATATATATTTAAGTTCATAAGAAATGAAAGGATACTCATGAAAATATTAACAATTACTTCAGGAATGGGGAATGAAGTGGACTATAAATTTTTATTCTTATTTGAATTTTATTAGTGAACATACTACTGTGTAATTTTCAAAGAAAACTTTATCTCTTCATTGTTGGACTTTTAAAATAATATTTTATCATAAGGTTAGAAAACTTACAATTAATATCCATATATGAGGACAAAACTAGTTGATAAATGGGGAAGAACACTTTTACATAGTTTCTTTAAATCTAGCATTTCTAGCAGAAAGCATTTCAAATACAAACAGTAGTGGTTCTTTTTTATAAAGATAATTTTCAAAAAAGTTATATCAGTATTGACATTACCTATTTCTTATTTTAAATTTCCATAAGTTGGGAATTTTTAAATGGGTGTCTTAAAGTCTTTATCTAATTTGTAGTTTTACTTTTTGTCCAGGCCCATCAAACTCCAGTGAAGAAAGTGAATCCTGGAGAAGAAAGGAGGAAAATGTTTGAGGTATAAAGACATCTGTCTGCTTATTTTAAAGCTTTGCAAAAGTAATTATTAAAAAGAGAAACAAAATCTTACAATATAAAACCTCCAAACCTTTCCTCCTTATTCTTTCAAACAAAAAAGCATTTTTTCCTAACTTCCTTGGGCTTATTTCTGCCGTTGGCATACTAACTTTCCTGAAGAAAATAGAAAAGTAGGAATTATTATCAGTAAAAATTATTATTATTATTATTTTAATTTAAGGAACAAGCAAGAAAGAGAAGATTGGACTTTATTGAAAAAGAGAAGAAGCAAAAGGATCAGGTAGGTTTTTTCCCTTAGTTTTCTTCTTTTGCCAACTTGAAGGTGAGAATACTTTTGAGTTCTAAGAAGTATGTCTTTAAATTGTTACAGATTAGTTTAATGAAGGCTGAACAAATGAAAAGACAAGAAAAGGAAAGGGTAAGGGGATAATTCATTTTTTTCGTGGTACATTTCTTCCTCTCCCCCATATATTTTTTTAAAGAAGTGCACTGAGCATGTACATATATGTAATAACAAATCCTACCATCATGTATAATTACAATGTACCAATAAAAATATGAGAAAAATGCACTGATTTCCATTTTATTGCTAAATATATTTCAGGTATTTATGTTAAATACTTGAAATGGTGTTTTTTTTGTTTGTTTGTTTTTTTCCCCAAAAGTTGGAGAGAATAAATAGGGCCAGGGAACAAGGATGGAAAAATGTGCTAAGTGCTGGTGGAAGCAGTGAAGTAAAGGTAGGTATTTAATACCAACATAGTTATACTACTGTTATTATTTTCTCCAGTTTCATCTTTCTCTTTAAAATATATATTATTGGTTGCTCTTTTTTTCTGCACAGTTAATTTATATCTAGAGGTCTCCAACATTTAATATTATTTCTTAGCTCTCCTGCATTTATTTGATATGAAACTGATGCTAATATGTGACACTAAATATTGCTTTTAGAAGTTTCATTTGAAGACTGTGATAACTCTGTTCCTGTCAGAGAAATCACAAATACAAATCAGATGCAAAATGAAAGTTTGTCATTGTTTTTCATGTATGTTAAGTTCTTGGAAGACTCTTCTTAAATGTGGCCCCTGCCAGTTTCCAAATTCATCTCCATCTGTATTCCCTTCCATACACTTAATGCTATATTATATGAAGCTTCTTTGTATGCGGCCTGCTGAATCTCTTTGTCTTTGCCCTTGTGTTTCTTTCTCCCTCTGCCCCTCCCCGCTTTTCTCTCTTTGAGATAGGGCCTCACTAAGTTGTTTAGGCTGGCCTTGAACTTGTGATCCTCCTCCTTCAACCTGTCTGTTGCTAGGATTAAAGGTGTGTACCACCATGCCCAGCTTGTGTTTCTCTTTACTAGATGACATCCTCCTTTCTTCCTCAAGCTCATCCCTGCCCTATTTATTACTTAGGCAACCAGAAACTTGGTTTGTTCAAACATTTCCTTTGGGTAAATACAGACCGCATAACATTGGGCAAGCTACTTAACTTTTCTGAGCTTTAGTTTCTTAGCTATCTCCCACCCTTTACCCCTAACCCCAGAGCTTGGCTAGCAAGGGCTCAGACAATAATTTACTCCTCCTCTCTTTGTTCTGTCAGTCTGAGCCTTGTACTTCCTCTTTTGCTCACAGAACATCCCATCTCATCTATCTATGTATCTGTGATAGTCCAAACTCTAAGATGATTGCCAGGATGCCAAACCCATGGTGTACATACCTTGTAGTCCCTCTCTTTGAATTATGAGTGTAATCTGTAACAGCTCCTTTGATTAGCAGGAAATGTTTGTGGAATAGTTGACCCCATTATTCTATTAATGTGTAAGACTCCCTACAGCAGACCAGGAAGGAAAAGTCTGGAGAGATACTTTGGTTAGCTTAGACGAGAGCAAATATTGATATGGCAAGAAAGTATAGGTGGCCTCTAGATGCTGTATGTGGTCTCTGACTGATAACTATGTAGAAAATGATATCCTTATTCATAGGGTCACAAAGAAATGAATCTGAAAAGAACCAGTAAGCTTGGAAAAGATCTGAGTCTCAAATGGAAATTGTAACTCTGGCTGACATTTTGATTTCTGCCTGGTGAGATTCTGAGCTGGTTACCCAGCTAAATGTATCTGCACTCCTATGCCAGGGAAAATGTGAGATAATAAATGAATATTGTTTGAGCTGGTAAGTTTGTTGTTACACAGCAATAGAAAGTGAATGCACTATTATTCCTCTGTATTATTTTAATTTCTATCATTGAATCAAAATGTCTTTAAACTGTAAAGTCACCTGAACCATGCCCATTAACCTTGATATTTAGGTATACAGTAGATATTTGTCAAGTTGAATTGACTAGCATTCTTGTTTCTTTCCCCAAAAAGTTCTGATTTTTTTAAAAAATATTTTTAGTTGTAGATGGGCACAATACTTTTATTTTATTTATTTATTTTTATGTGATGCTGAGGATCGAACCCAGTGCCTTATACATACAAGGCAAGCACTCTGCTACTGAGCTACAACCCCAGCCCAAAAGTTATGATTTAAATAAAAGTTTGTTTGTTTTATCCACACATATGGTGCTGAATTACATGTTTTTTAGTCTCTTGAGATGCAGTTTTTCATATAACATAACGATATTTCAGTAATAGTCATCTGTTCCAGTTCTGTTTTAATGTAGATTAATATAGTGTTTTTAGTAAATTCAGTGTTGCCTAATTAAATAGAATTTACTGCTTCCTGAATGATAGGAAGTGATTTGTACAAAATTTGGGTTATTCTAAAATCAGTTCATCCTTTGTCTTACCTGATTGGGAAGTGAAAACTACAGTGTAGGACTTTGTGTCAAGTCCATGATAAATGGTGAGATGTTTGTAATTTTTCTCCTCCTCATATATCTCTTTTGTAATTGTTTTCTTTTCCCTGTAATGTCTAAAGCTATATTTAATCCTAAAAGTTCAGATTTATCAATCTTGTTTAGTTTTTCAAAAGACATTTTGTGCATAATAGATTTTTGCTTCACTTTATATACTTCTATAATGCTGTCCTTGATAATAAAGCAGTTTATTTTCCATGATTTAAACAAATTCTGTTAGTTTATGTACTTATTCCTTAGTTTGAAATATTTATCTTGTTAAGCTGTTTGATTTCTACATGATTGCTAGAACCTAGAGGCTCAGTATAATGAGAATCAAATTAAGGAATTCCTCAAATAAAGATAAAATAAAAAGTAAACATTAAGGGAAATATTTCAAGATCAATATGATTATTATACACTTTTGTTGTGAGGGGGATACTAGGATTTGAATCCAAGGGAATTCTACCACTGAGCTACATCCCCAGCACCCCCTGACCTTTTAATATTTTTTTAGCTGTAGTTGGACACAATATTTTTATTTATTTATTTTTATGCAGTGCTGAGGATCAAAAACAATGCCTCACTCATGTGAGCAAGTGCTCTATCACTGAGCTACAATGCCATACCTTTTTATTTTTCATTTTGAGACAGGGTCCTACTAAATTGCCTCACCTGGTCTTGAATTTGGAGTCTTTTTGCCTCAGCTTCCCATGTAACTGAAATTACAGACAGGTGCCACTACAATAAGCCAGTTATTACACACTTCTAAATAAGCATTGATATTCAAGTGCAAGCATTTGACTGACTTTATTTGGTATTTACAATATCTAGTACTTCTTTGTACTCTCTGCTTTTAGTGTTTTTCTTCATAATGTGTTTTTAGAAAAATTGTGATATAATCCACATGTATATTTTTAATTATCTGGTGATCAGAGTATGTATGAGGTTTATGTAAGAGGTTTAAGATATATCACCAGGATGGTGGCGCATTCCTATAATCCCAGCTGCTTGGGAGGCTGAGATAGGAGGATGGCAATTTTAAAGCCAGCCTCAGCAAAAGTGAGGGGCTAAGCAACTCAGTGAGACCCTGTCTCTAAATAAAATACAAAATGAGGCTGGGGATGTGGCTCAGTGTTGGACTGTCCCTGAGTTCAATCCCCTGTGCCAAAAAAAAAAATACACACACACACACAATTATACTATTCAGCATTAAAAAAAAGAATAGTGTGTTTATATATGCAACAACATGGATCCATCTCGAAAATGAGTTAAGGAAGCCAAACAAAAGAATATATATTGTATGATTATGTTTATATGAAGTTACAGAAAAGGCAAGTCCAATCCATAGTGTCACAAAGTGGGACATTGGTTTCTGGCAGTAAGAGATCATTGACTACAAAGGAATATGAGGAACTTTCTGGGATAATTGTCACTATGGCAGTGGTTACATGCATGTTTCTGTTTATCAAAATTCTTCAATCTGTGCTTAAACTTGGTGAATTTTATTGTATATAAGTCATGCCTTAATAAAACTTATTTTTAAAAGATCATATTGCTTTAGTATTTTAGTACAATATTTTCAGTTTTATTTTGAGTAAAAGTCTTTGAGAGATGTTTACCTGCTTTTGCTTTTGCTAAGTAGAACACTCAAAGCCAGAATATTAGTAGAGAACTGTAAGTGTAGTCAGTTCCACAGAAAATGTGACCACCTTTTTACAGAATCATTCTTCTGATTCTTGACTTGAAATATATATTTTGAGAATGTACATGAGGAGGACCTCCTTGATGGAGTTTCCAGCCTAATCATTTATCTTTCCTGGTTCTAGCAGCTTCCATTTCTTGTTATTTGAACATCTTTAATTAATTATCTCTGCATCCCTTAAAATTATTTTTAAAAATTCATGTTTTCTCATAAAATTGTGTGCTTACTGTGCTAAGGTGTTAAAACAAATTTCCTCTTACTGGGTTACACTAAAGTTTCTTTTATTTGATTCTGATATTGTTCTTTGTATCGTTTCTTACTCAGACTTCTTAAATAAAATGTTATTACCAGGAAAAGCGTTTCCTCAATTCTCCGTATTCTAGCTTCTTTTCTCACCATCCCTTCTCCTCCCACCCTTCCTCCCCCACCCCACACACAGTGGTTTTTTTTTAAAAGGCTATCACTCAACCTTAGAACTATCTTATTTGCAGTGCTTTTGACCTCTGCATTTCAGATCATTGATTTCTTCTTTTCAATGAAATTCTTTCACCGTAACTTCTATAGCATCATACATTTACTTTTAACTCTTAACCATTTCTAATGTCTATATTTTCTGACTATGGGGTTTCCATGTGTTTGAATTTTTGTTTCTCTGTGGCTGTGTCCTTATATCTTTACCTTTATCCTTTGTTGTTCTCGCAGAGAATCCACAAGTCCATTCAGCATGCATTTATTTATTTATTTATTTTATTGATTCTCTTTTTTACCTCTGGTCTTCTTGGCTTGGTGTCAGTGCAACAGCCCTTTAGTTTTTCTACTTTGGTATCTTTCTTATTTCTGCTTATAATGCATAATATTGACTCAAGCTTTTTAGAAGATGTTTTAGAGTATACTACTATTGCTAGAAAGTTTGGAAATGATTTTTGTTTTTCTTTTTAAATTATCCTTTTTTTTTGTAGTTATAGATGGACAGATGCCTTTATTTTATTTATTTTTACATAGTGCTAAGGATTGAACCCAGTGCCCCACACAGGCTAGACAAGTTCTCTGCGACTGAGCTCAGCTCCAGCCCAGTTGTGTTTTATATATGAATGCATATACCCAGGGCCAATAGCACCTAGTCTCTACCAACCAAGCTTTTGTAGTCAAGCTTAGTGTTCCTTGTCTTCCTTCTGATTATGTTTGTCACCATACTTCCTTCTTCCCTCTATTTCTGGCATCCAGATATATACATCTATTGCTTATTTTTGCTATATTACCTAGCTTCATATCTAATATCTCTGTTATTATAAGGCCAAGTTAAATAATATCTTTCTTCAAAACTTTTTTTTTTCTCTTAAATAGGGATTTTGCTTTTGATCATTTTTTTTTTTTCATTTTATGAATTTGCTTAGTATTTACTACTTTGGAATGTCTCTATTTATCATTCATTTACCAAAAGATTAAAATGTTTTTCCCATTTTGTGTTTTCTTTCCCAACTTGTTTGAAAAACTATTTACCAATAGATATGAAGTTTTGGCTCTTTTATCTATACATAGAATATGTTTCAGTAATGTTTATACCTTCACATTAACTTGGTGAATAAGTTTGAAGCATAGTAAAAGTCATGTCCAAATGTTTTTGTCAAACATCATTTTAAGTGTTATATAAGCATGCTCTGCTTTGCATATAATGGCCTTACATATTTAAACTTAATAGAACAGAATTACATGAAGTATATATTCTATATTTGTTTCAAAACTTTCTAAGACCAGATTTTTTCACATTTAAAAGAATGTAGTAACACTTTAATGTTTTTGTTTGTCACATTAATTTATGCTTCATTGTTAACAAAAATTCTACTTTTCTTTTTTTAAATTTTAAAAATTTGTTCTAATTAGTTATACATGACAGTGGAATGCATTTTGACACATTAGACACAAATAGAGCACAACTTCTCCTTTCTCTGGCTGTAAATGGTGCAGAGTCACACCAGTAGAAAATGCTACTTTTCTATTGTTAATTATTATAACATAATAAGAAAACATCTTGCTTTTTGGTCATGTTAATTAATTTGCTCAAATTTTAGGTAATTGCTTTTTTAAAGTTAAGCCTTGAAATTTAGTTTTTATTTTGAGTATGGTGTAGGCCTTTTGGGCCTTGTAAGATAAATTGTGAGAGCTCTTTGTTTAATCCCTAGGCTTCCTTTTTTGGTAGTGGAGGGACTGTAGCTCCATCATCTTCTCGAGGACAGTATGAACATTACCATGCCATTTTTGATCAAATGCAGCAACAAAGAGCAGAAGATAATGAAGTGAAATGGAAAGGAGAAATACGTAGTCGTCCAGAAAGGTATGACTATGTTCAGCAGAAATTTCTTATGCTTTACTTCAGAGAAAGCAATGAAAGTCACTGTGCATATCTGTCTACAGAGGAATTCCACCTGGAGTTCGTCCAGGATTTCCTAAAGGGGCTGCAGGTCATCACCATTTCCCTGATGCTGATGCTATTAGAAAAACTTTGAAAAGATTGAAGGCCGTGTCTAAACAAGCCAATGCAAACAGGTTGGACTGTGGTGATCCATGAATTCATCCTTGTGTGTAATTTTGTCTTTTGTCACATATAACTTAGTACTCTCACTTGTAGATGTGTTCTCCATTGTTTACATGGAATAATTTTTGCTTCCTGGATGTAGTAATTTTCTTAGGTGTAAAATTGGTCCATGATTATATTATGACAAACATTTAGCTCTTCAAATCAGCCTGATTTTTATGGCTTATTTATATTTTATACTGCACATACTATTAAAGGAACATGTTATAACTTTCAGCCAACATATGGTTATAATAATTTCATCTACTTGGTTTAAGTAAATCAGAATATAAATTTAAATGTAATCACATTTTATGCAAAACTCATATTTTTTTTGTCTTTTGCACATCATGGAGAAGTTAGCTTTCTCTCTGTTATGTTAGCATATTCTTCTTCATCCATCACTGATATGTGATCCTTTTCACCAGATTTTTTCCTATCCTTCTATTGAGTTAATTAAATAATGGTAACTAACATAGCTGTAATCCACACAGTTTTTTTTTTTTTTAAGTATACTTTCAAGTGTGTTTTCTAAGGTAGTCCCATTTCATTTAAAAGCATTGTGATGAGTTGTGAAAGAACAGGTAATGTTTTATGAAATTTTAATTACATCATCTTTTTCTTGTTTCTTACGGTGCTATAAAAATCTTTATGGTCCTCCTATTATAAAGTGTACTTGAGCACATTTAAAAACGTAATTAAAAAATAAAAAAAACAATGTATTTGAATATAATAAATAATTGAGTTAAGTGTAAAATTACATTATGAATACATTACATATTATATACAGAAACCTAAATTGTGAAACTGATTAAAAGATTTTTTGCATTACAAAGGAAGGCTACAGACTCACAAATGTGCTTATTTTTGCTGAATGTTGAAGCAAATTTTTTGTGAGGTTTTTATCTTCCTGTAGGGTTGATCTTTCTATTACATATACATTCTTAATTAGTAAACTTTATTTTTAGAGCACTTTTAGGTTTTCAGCAAATTGAGTGGAAAATATAGAGTTCCCGTCCACACCTTCTCTACATATGCACAACTTCCCTGTCAGCATCCTAGCCAGAGTGAACAACATTTCTTACCATCAGTAACTCACATTGACCCATTACCACCAAAGTTCAGTGTCTCTGTTAGGGCTCACTCTTGTTTGTTGAACTGTAGGTTTTGACAAAAGTATAATTCCATGTGTTCACCCTTGTGGTATTATATTTAAAAATGTCACTATGCTCAAAATCCTCTGTGCTCTACCTATTTTTACCTACCTCCCTCCCTCCCTTCTAACCTCTGGCAATCTTGTAATTATTTTGCTGTCCCTATAATTTTTCTTTTTCTAGAATGTTATTTAGTTGGAATCATTACTAAATGGCTGCTCTCATTTAGTAATACTCATTTAAGGTACCTCCATATCTTTTCATGACGATACATAGTTCGTTTCTTACTAGCACTGAATGATACTACATTGTATGGATGAATAGTTTATTCATTATCCTGCTGAAGAATATCTTCGTTGCTTACAAGTTATTGCAATTATGAATAAATCTGTTACAAATATCTGTATGAAAGTTTTTGTGTGGACATAAGTTCTCAAATCATGAAAGATCAGATTAGATCCTATGTTAAGAGTACATTTAGTGTTTTTTTTTTTTTAATATTTATTTTTTACGTATAGATGGACACAACACAATGCCTTTATTTATTTTTATGTGGTGCTGAGGATCGAACCCGTGTCCCGCCTGTGCTAGGCGAACGCTCTACCACTAAGCCAGAATCCCAGCCCCTGTATCTTTAGTTTTATAAGAAACAACCAAAGTGTTTTCCAAAGTAGCTGTCCCATTTTGCTTTCACACCAGCAATGAACAGTGTTGTCCCTGTTTTGGATTTTGGCCATTTAAATTGGTGTATTTTGCTATCAGTGTTGTTTAATTATAATTCCCAAATGACATATGATGTTGAACATCTTTTCACATTCTTCTTGCTATCCGTATATCTTTTTTAGTTAGTTTTCTGTTAAGGTCTTTTGTCCATTTTTTAATTGGGTTGTTGATTTTCTTGTTGAGTTATAAGAGTTCTTTGCGAGTTTTGGATAACAGTTCTTTATCAGATCTCTTTCTCCTCCTTGTGCAGTGCTGGGGATCCAACTCAGGGCCTTGGTCATACTAGGCAAGCACTCTACCACTGAGATACATCCCTACCCCAGATAATGTCTCTTGCAGTTATTTTCTTCCAGTCTGTGGCTTGTGTTCTTATTCCTTGATATTATTTTTCACAGAGCAGACATTTGTAATTTTAATGAAATTCCTCTTACCATTTTGGGGGGGTGATGCCTTTGGCCTTGTATCTAAGAAGTTACCACCATAGCCAAGTTCATCTAGGTTTTCTCCTGTGTTATCTTCTAGGAATTTTTATACTTTTGTCTTTTACATTTAAGTCTATAATTAATTTTGAATTTTTTTTTACACAGTACCTTTATTTATTTATTTATTCACTTATTCATTTATTTATTTATTTTTATGTGGTGCTGAGGCTTGAACCCACTACCTCATATGTGCGAGGCAAGCGCTCTGCCACTGAGCCACAATCCCAGCCCCTTGAATTAATTTTTGAAAGATCTAAGGCCTGTGTCTAGATTCATTTTTTTTTTTTTTGCATGTGGACATTCATTTGGTCCATAGTATTTTTTGAAGAGACTATTTATGCTCCCTTGAATTGACTGTGCTCCCTTGTCAATGATCAGTTGACTCTGTTTATATGGAATTATTTGAGTTCTCTTCTTTGTCCCCTGATATATTGTTGTTAATTTTTCACCAATACCACTCTGTATTGATTACAGTAGTGTGTTAGTCCACTTTTCCTTGCTGTGATCAAAATAGCCAATGAGAACAACTTGGGGAAAAAAGAGTTTATTTTTGGCTCATGGTTTCAGAAGTTCAGTCCATGGTCAGCTGACTCCATTCTTCTTGACAGGGGAAATAGGAAGGAGCCTGTAGCGAAAAAAAAATCTTTCCAGGTCATGCCTTTAGGACCTACCTCCTCCAGCTATGCTATACCTGCCTACAGTTACCACCCAGTTATTCCATCCAAACTAGGATGGACTGATAAGATTACAGTTCTCCTAGTCTAATCATTTCACCTCTGAATATTCCTGGATTGACACAGGAGCTTTTGGTGGGGGCACCTCATATCCAAATCATAACAAGTAGCTTTATAGTAAGTCTTAAAGTCAGATAGTTTTAATCCTCCAACTTTTTTTTCCTCTTTCAATATTGATTTGGCTATTCTAGTTTTTTCTCTCTATATAAACTTTAGATTAGTTTGTCAATATCTACAAAATAACTTGCTGTGTTTTTTATTTAGGTTGTGTTGAATCTATGGATCAATTTGGGAAGAATTTACATTTTGACAATATTGAGTCTTTTTGTTCTTCTGTTGTACCTGTATTATCTCTCTATTTAATTCTTCTTTGAATTCATTAGACTGTTTCAGTTTTCCTCATTTTCCTGTATATATTTTTTTCAGACTTATAAAATACATATTAATTTTTGGGGGTGCTGGTGTAAATGGCAATATATTTTTAATTTCAGATTCCACTTGTTCATTGCTGATTTGTAGGAAAACAGTTAACTTTTGCATATTAATATTGTATCCTGGAACCTTGCTACAATTACTTATTAATTTCAGGGGGTATTTTTTGTCAGTTCTTTTGGATTTTCCACAGTTATGCCATCTGTAAACAAAACCAGTTTTATTTTATTTTAAAACAATAACAAAACCATTTTTATTTCTTCCTTTCCAATCTCTCATCTTTGTCTTATTCCTGACCTTAACAGGAAAGCTTCATGTTTCTCACCATTAAGTATGATGTTATATTTTGATTTTTTATGAAGTTGTAGAAAAAAAAATTGCATTTTTTTTTTGTTAAATGCGTGTGGGATTTTGTAAAATTTTTTGCATCTATGCTCATATGCTCATATGACTTTTCTTTACTTTGTCAATATGATGGATTTTATGTATTGAACTATTCTTGCACATCTGGTATAAGTTTCACTTGGTCTTGATGCTGCTATATGTTGTTATACTTGTTGTAATTGACTTGTTAATGTTTTATGGAGGATTTTCATACTTATATTCATAAAAGATATTGGCATGTAATTTTCTTATGTCTTCAAAAGTTTTTTTTTTTAATTTTTAAATTTTTTTAATTTTTTAATTTTTTATTGTGGGTTGTTCAAAACATTACAAATTTCTTGACATATCATATTCCACACTTTGATTCAAGTGGGTTATGAACTCCCACCTTCACCCCATACACAGATTGCAGAATCACATCAGTTACACATCCATTGATTTACATATTGCCATACTAGTGTCTGTTGTGCTCCGCTGCCTTTCCCATCCTCCACCCTCCCCCCTCCCCACCTCTCCCCTCCCCTCCCCTCCTCTCTCTCTACCACCTCCACTGTATAACCCTGAGGGTCTCCTTCTATTACCATGCAATTTCCCTTCTCTCTCCCTTTCCCTCCCACCTCTCATCCCTGCTAAATGTTAATCTTCTTCTCCTGCTCTTCGTCCCTACTCTGATCTTAGTAACTCTCCTTATATCAAAGAAGACATTTGGCATTTGTTTTTTAGGGATTGGCTAGCTTCACTTAGCATAATCTGCTCTAATGCCATCCATTTCCCTGTAAATTCTATGATTTTGTCATTTTTTAATGCAGAGTAATACTCCATTGTGTATAAATGCCACATTTTTTTTATCCATTCATCCATTGAAGGGCATCTAGGTTGGTTCCACAGTCTAGCTATTGTGAATTGTGCTGCTATGAACATCGATGTAGCAGTGTCCCTGTAGCATGCTCTTTTTAGGTCTTTAGGGAATAGACCGAGAAGGGGAATAGCTGGGTCAAATGGTGGCTCCATTCCCAGCTTTCCAAGAAATCTCCATACTGCTTTCCAAATTGGCTGCACCAAT